CTTTACACAAAACTGTGAAAAAAGTGAAGGAAGATTTTTAAACCTGTTTTTTAAAGTTCCAAACTGGAGTTTCATTCTTTTCTGGTTTTGCAGTGATATTTACCAGCCTCTGCACGTTTACCAAACCAAACGCACATCGTGACAAACACAGATGCATTTGTCACTTTTGTTAGACAAACTTCAGCCAAATGTGGCAAATCCGTGTATCATTCATTCATTCGTTTTTCAATATAAAACCAAAAATAAAATAATGAAAAAACAACAGTTTTCTTCACTATTTGTCTCCAAAACCAAAATGAAAAAAACAGATAACGATTAGTTTTTTCAGTTTTCGAATTTGAGTTATAAATTAAAAATTGAAAAAATGGATAACGACCGTTTCCCGTTTATGTGACTTCCGTGACTGTGTTCAGTTCGTACCAGGTGCAAAAGTCCGGCATCGCAGTCACGGAATCACTTAACGGGAAACGGTTGTTCTCCGTTTTTTCCATTCTTCATTTAAACACAAAATTGAAAACTAAAAAAACAAATCGTTATGTGTTTTTTAATTTTGGTTTTGGAGACAAATAGTGAAGAAAACTGTTGTTTTTTCATTTTCTTATTTTTGGTTTTATATTGAAAAATGAATGAACGAATGATACATGGATTGTGGCAGTAGGTCTGTTCTGTAGATCCGCTCTATGCTGTAGACCTGCTTTGTGCCAACACTGGAACACAAATTTAGACTGGTTTTTGCTTCACGTTTGGTCTTGCTCTTCTAATCAGCCGCACTGTGGGAGGGGCTTGTGTTGGCTGTACGCAGGAAGGAGCGAGAGCGTGAAAAGGCGAGGGGCGGCGTGCTGACGTGAGGCAGGTGAACAGGTAGGATGTTTAGGAAGTTGAACCTGCCCTGTGATGCACGCTGGTACACGAGGGCACACGCTGTCGCAGACGAGCCGTGCATAGGGAGCGTGTGTGTTTGTGATGCGCCGTAGAGTCTCCGCGGGTTTCAAATGAGCGCACAGGCTGCACTGAGACGCCCCACACGCTCCTGCACCCGCTACAAGTTTATTACCAACAGCAGCGGCCGCAATGAAATATGATCACACTTGTTGAGTGTCAGACCTCGAGTGAGAGACAAGACCGAGTCCAAACACGATCGAGTCCGAGACGAGACACGGCGATCTACCCACACGACCTTGGCGATCGACTGGTAGATCGCGATCGACGTATTGAGCACCTCTGATCTAAACGAAAAACACCTCTGATAAAATATTTTGTTGTTTTTACCCGGTTTTGTGTGTCAAACGTGCGAATGAAACAAAACACAACTCCAGGTCTGTTTGTGACGAGGAAACGACATTAGAACAGATCAGAAAATAGTGTAATATGAGCTCTTTAAGAATGAATCCACATTAGTTGTTATCAGTGTCTGGAATGTTCCGCAGTGTGACTTTAAACAGCTCCAATACTGGTTTTATAGCTCAAAAACACCTTGAAAAACAGGCTTCTCCGCAGATCTGACCTGTATCTGGGTCCGGTTTGGTCTAGATAGTTCCATAGAAAGCTCGAATGCCACACTGTGAAAGATTCCAGGTGAAGCATTAACATTTCAGTGGAGAAAAGTTACACAGTGCACCTATTATTGGCAGTGGTCCCGGACTGACTGGAGGACAGACTTCGGAGTGGCTGGCTCACTGTTGTTTTCTCTCCGGACACGCAGCAGCTCAGCGTGGTTCTGTTTGCTTTGGTCCAGTGAAAAACACAGCTGCTTTGGAAATGCGGCGTGTGTGGCCTCTCGTTATATATATAAAAAAAGAATAGTGTGAGCACTTTAAATGTGTGTAAACCACTTAAAGAGCTCATATTCCTCTCTTTTCTGATCTGTTGTTGTTGTTTCAGACCTGGAGTTGTGTTTCGTTTCATTCACACATGTTTAACGCACAAACCCTGCACATTTAGGCCGAGTTCTTCTCTCAAACTGAAAACACTGAAAATGTTTTTAAACTTCAAACACCTCCCCTGGAACTGCAGACCTGCACTGAACTGAATGTGAAAGGGGATGTTCAAAACTTGAAATCTACAAAAAAAAAAAAGCTTAAGTTTGGCTCTTGTGGATTTTAAACTGGGTTTATTTAGGCAACATTTATTGTTATTCTGACTCTTTACATGATATGTCATAGGACTAAAGCAGGTCTAAATCAGGACTAAACCAGGACTGAAAAAGGACTAAACCAGGACTAAAACAGATGTAAACCATGTGTAAAACAGGACTAAACCAGAACTGAACCAGGACTGAGTGTCGGGACTCGGTCTCTATCTCTCTCCCTCACTCGACCCCAAGATTAGTCCTGGTTTATTTATTTTATGCTGAAGTACAGCCAAATATGCACATTTTTTTACCCTATGCACACGCAGATTTTTGAAAGTTTCGTTTTCAGCCGCTGTCAAACTCCCACGAGTCTGAACGCGACATGAAGAGAAAAAAAGTGAGAGAAACAGAAAACACGACTTCCAATATGGATCAGGCTCCCGTCGTTCGCTTCAAAGAGCCGGATCTAAGAGCCGCTTCGTTCGTGACCGACCATCACTACAAGCGAGTAAATAAACAATCACTATTAGCCTTTAGCCGTAAATGCTGCGCGCAATTATATGTGCAAATTTCATCATTCACACGTCTGTTCACAGCTCATTTACATCAATGCAGGTCCAGTAACAAATGTACGACCAATATAATCACTTTACAACAGACCAACAGAAAACAGACTCCAGCTACAGCAGATCATCACTAAACAATAAACAAAACCAGCTTCAAAGTCGACGTATTTCCAACACTCAGCCTCACACAGGCTCCTCCCACATCACAAGTCTGAACTAATAAATGTCCTTTTAATCCAGACTCAAACCGATTGTCCGTAAAAAGAAAATAATCTCAGTGTTTGGATCTGTGTCTGTGAGTGTAAACAAACACACGTGACTCTGTGGTGTGTTCAGGGACAGTACGACACACATACACACAAATGACTCCACAGATAAATACTGATGTGGAGCCACATATTAGAGCATTTATTTGTCTGTAAATTGGATTAAATGAACATAATGTAGAGAGTCTAAGCTTTAGAACAACGTATCACATGCCCACATGAAATATCGGCCAACCGATATATCGGTCAGGTTCTAGTTAACATCACTGCAGCATCACGTCCTGAACAGAACTTTCACTGTTTCAGGCTTCATTTACACATGTTACAAAAGGAGAAAGAGCTCATGGGGCTTTGAGATCACGTCAGGAGATAAATCCTCATTGGTCCAGCGTTAAAAACGGGCATCCACACGGCACCAAAGGGACCCGTGACCCATGACTCAATGCCCTGTCGCCCCTGCATTAACAGATGTACAGTACACACACACACACACACACACATTTCCCTTAGATTTTGTTTCTTTTTCATCTCTCTTCAGTTTGTGGAGTATAAAAAAACTCTTAACCTGAAATATAAAACCCAACCTCACACAGCAGACGGGTTCTCTTTAAACTCTGGAGGATCCATCTTGGCGCCCGCTGTCGTCATGACACTCTCTGTTTTGCGATGTCTCACTCTGAGCTGGTTCTATCGCAGATGTCATCACAACATTTTACAGGTCAATAATATTTAATACAGACGTGGGAAGGTAAAAGGAGTAGAGTTGAACTGCAGATGTTTGTTGTAATAGAGCGTGATCTTTGGTCTTGTGACTAGACCAAAGAGCAGAGGTGCTCAATACGTTGATCCTGATCTACCAGTCGATCGCCAAGGTCGTGTGGGTAGATCGCCGTGTCTCGTCTCGGACTCGATCGCGTTTGGACTCGGTCTTGTCTCTCACTCGAGGTCTGACACTCAACAAGTGTGATCATATTTCATTCCGGCCGCTGCTGTTGGTAATAAACTTGTAGCGGGTGCAGGAGTGCTGAAATTGTATTTTTCTTAAAGTTTCAGGTTGTTCATAATATTATAATATTTTGTAAAACAAAGAGTTCATCAGTTATAAAAGATTTCTGTAATAGATTTGCGTTTCCCTGCAAAAATATTTGAACTTATTGTTATTTTTAAGGTTTATATGCCATGAGTTTTCTGATCCGGACACTTTAGGATCAAAGTAGGTTGGATACGGACCAAAATGCGTTTGACTCCCCTGACGTAATTGATGAAATTCTTAGTGATCAATTATCGATTAATCGACTAATCATGCCCATCCCTAATCTAGACTCAATTAGGTTTTATCTTTTAATGATTTGGAGTGGGTGATTCAGGCTTTTATCTCAACACGTCTTGACTCCTGTAACTGGCATCAGCCAAACCAACATGTCACACTTAGAGTTAGTCCAAAATTGTGCGGCACATCTTTTGTTTTTGAAGCACTTCATGGATTTTCCCAAACGTACATCTCAGACCTCACTGTTCCTATCCTCCGTGTGCTCTGAGATCTGAGGGCTCTCCCCCCTCACCTTAAGAGCGCCCCCTTCAGTCCATCCTTTTAAGTCTCGTTTAAAAACACACTTTTATTCACCGGTTTTTAACATAGCGTGAGAACTGTGTGCTCTTTTGACTGTCTTTTATTGATTTTATTTGCTATTTTTCTATTTGCAAATTGTATTTTTTAAAATCTTTTTTATTGACTTGCTTATTTATTTATGTTATGCTTTATTTTCTTTAATGTGTTAATTTATATTGTGCAGCACTTTAGAGACACTGTGTTGGTAAAATGTGCTGGATTGGATTGATATTTCATGGCAGAATACAACGTAATCAACAGGGAAAAATGTCTCTTCCCCCGTCTTGGAGGATTACATCATCACACTCTACAATCTGAAAACCAACAGTAAAATCCCTCGTAAATTGAAATCAATCTGTAACAGCTCCCGGCTCTTCTAACGTCCAAAGGTGGCTCCGGGTTAATCATCATGTCACTGTAGTTTTAAAACGGGCCGGGGAAACCCTCGGCGAACCTCTGTGCTCTTTCAGGACGCGAGCTCTTTCGGGATGGTGGCGTTCGAGGACATTCTGGAGGAGGTGAACGGCTTCGGTCCGTTTCAGATCCTCATCCTGGTGCTGCTGTGTTCTCCGCGCATGGTCCTGCCCGGTCACTTCCTCCTCAACAACTTCATCGGGGCCGTCCCTCCTCACCACTGCCTCTTCACAGGTGAACTTTAGAGTTTCCTCTGCAACATGGGGACTGGGATTTTGTTTTATTGCATTCAGAATATTCACATTCAAAGCTGAAAGCTGTTTTAGCCTGTTAACAGTGTTGTCTGTGCACCAACTCCACTGATTTGTGTAAACGTCACTCAAAACACTTTTCTCTATGGGTCTGGTCAAGTGGTAACGGAGGGAAACAGGGTCAGATTTTTGACATTCAAATGTCTCTTATTCAGAAACTAGAGGAACTATTGAAATAAGTAAAGTATCAGAATGTAGGAAAGAGTTACACTCCAACAGGGTCAAGTTAAACCTGTGAGATTCTTTCAAGTTCAAGACAAAAAATTAAAAAACTCATGTCGGTAACAGAGGGAATGAAATATGCAGCACTTTTTGGTCAATAAATCCAAACAGTGATAACTCTTGGTTCTCACTTCCATATCCTTAACAAACTGGTTTGAATATTTGCTTCATATAGTTTTCTACCATATGGTACAAGATTAGGTTGAAAAACCTCTGACTTTTTGACTCATGAGATTTTTTATTAAGAAAGTTCATGGTAACAGAGGGAAAAGTAACGGAGGGAAAATTGTTCAAATAAGTAGAAGGTGCAGGATTTTATATAATTTGTCAACTTTTTTCTACTGAAAACTTTAATATTACTTCAAAATGAAAGGAAACTATTTCTATAAAATATGTCAGTCCTTCCAAGAACATTTTTATCATTTAAAAAAATGTTTTTTTGAAAAATCATGTACCTTCATCAGCAGTTCAAAGATGAAATAACACAAGATATGATGAAATACAAACATTTATTTACATGATTTTCAGGTCTTTGAAATTTGGAAAATAATTTTTGTTCCATGTTTCATACATGGTCTGTTTAAAACGTATGGAACTTTAGAACCAAAAATGGTCCAGAAAAAAGGTCAACAGTTTGATAAACTAGAGTACATATGTATCTGTTCAATACATTTTTATATCAGATGCATTAACTTGAACTTTTGGCCTTGTTGTTTACTTCTGCTTGACCGGGTCCTATAAAGAAAAGGGGTTTTGTTCTGGAGTGAGGGGGGATGGAGTGTGAGATTGACAGGTGGACAGGTGCAGGTGCAGACAGGAGGTGTCCGGGGTGAAGGAAGTCTGGGTCCCTGCTCAGACTGCTGCCTCTGCCTCCCAGCCCTGGGAAAGTGGAAGAAAATGGATGTTTGGATATTTCAAAATAACCCAGAATTCCCACCAGGAGCTGCAGCAGGATGTAAATTTAAAAGTTTCAGTTCACAGCAGAGCGTCAGAGATGCTCCTGCTACACCAGCCTGCACGTCTTCTCACTGTTTTAAGACATCGCATTTTGTACTTGTTGTTCTTAGCGTGGGTATGTACCAGAGTCCTGCATGGGTCCATTTTTGGAGACCCGCACTCGCCCATTGACCCGTCATTATATCAAAGTTAAACCTGCACCTGCCCAGACCCGTTTACCGACTCGTGCCCGTGGTAAATCACACACAGATTAAAAACATTCTAACTGAAGCGTCCATCAGAATATGAATTGAAAAGTTACGACTTCGAGAATTACAATCACGAAATGAAACGGTTTCACTTTCTTCAGTACGAATACGAAATCACAAATGCGACTCGACTGTCGTCACTGCACAGGGATTATTTACTGAGCAGAAGAAACACTGACACGGACTGAACCAGGACTGAACCAGGACTGAACCAGGACTGAACCAGGACTGAACCAGGACTGAACCAGGACTGAACCAGGACTAAACCAGGACTGGACTGAACTAGGACTAACCCAGGACTAACCCAGGACTAACCCAAGACTGAACCAGGACTGAACTAGGACTAACCCAGGACTAACCCAAGACTAAACCAGGACTGAACTAGGACTAACCCAGGACTAACCCAAGACTAAACCAGGACTGAACTAGGACTGAACCAGGAGGACTAAACCAGGACTGAACCAAGACTAAACCAGGACTGAACTAGGACTAACCCAGGACTAACCCAAGACTAAACCAGGACTAATTCCAGAACTGAACTAGGACTGAACCCAGGACTAACCAGGACTGAACTAGGACTAACCCAGGACTAACCCAAGACTAAACCAGGACTGATTTCAGGACTGAACCAGGAGGACTAAACCAGGACTGAACCAGAACTAACCCAGGACTAACCCAAGACTAAACCAGGACTGAACTAGGACTGAACCAGGAGGACTAAACCAGGACTGAACCAAGACTAAACCAGGACTGAACTAGGATTAACCCAGGACTAACCCAAGACTAAACCAGGACTAATTCCAGAACTGAACTAGGAGGACTAAACCAGGACTGAACTAGGACTAAAACAGGACTGAACCAGGACTCTCTGTCAAGACGGGTTCGGAGGTGCGCCCGCGTAGACCGTCGGGTGACTGCAGCCGTTGCCCGACCGTGCACGGGCTCGGGGTTCTCTCTCGCTTAAGTCCAAGATTAGTCCTGGTTTAGTCCTGACTTAGTCCTAGGAGAAATTCCCTCACCGTGACAGCTCTAGACAGAAAAGTTATTCGCTCTTCTCTTTGTGTCTGTGCAAGTTTGTCCCGGCTGAAGTTCGACTGATTCGTTCTCGTCGCAGATGCAGATGCAGACGGTCTCCTGTCGAACCTGAGCGAGCGGCAGAGGCTGGTGGTGTCTCTTCCGCTGAGAGACGACGGCGTCCCAAAAGCCTGTGAGATGTTTGCCGAACCGCAGCTGGAGCTCCTGTCCAACGGTTCCTCCGGGTCCGAGCTGCCCACGGTGCGCTGCAGCAGATGGGTCTACGACAACTCCACCTTCTCCTCCACGCTGGCCACTGAGGTGCGGCCCAGTTTGTGCCGTCAGTCCGTCTGCACAGGCTCCGAGAAGAATCACACTTTTTAGTCCTGGTTTAGCCTGGTTTTAGAAAACCTGGTTTTTTTAGAGCCTGGTTTTAGTCCTGATTTTAGTCCTGGTTTAGTCCTGGTTTAGTCCTGGTTTAGACCCTGGTTTAGACCTGGTTTAGAGCTGGTTTTAGTCCTGATTTTAGTCCTGGTTTAGTCCTGGTTTAGACCTGGTTTAGTCCTGGTTTAGTCCTGGTTTAGTCCTGGTTTTAGTCCTGGTTTAGACCTGGTTTAGACCTGGTTTAGTCCTGGTTTAGTTCTGTTTTAGACCTGGTTTTACTACTGATTTTCGTCCTGGTTTAGCCCTTGTTTAGACCTGGTTTTAGTTCTGGTTAAGACCTAATTTTAGTCCTGATTTTAGCCCTGGTTTAGACCTGGTTTAGTTCTGGTTTAGTCCTGATTTTAGTCCTGATTTAGACCTGGTTTAGTCCTGGTTTTATTTCTGGTTTAGACCTGGTTTTAGTCCTGATTTTAATCCCGGTTTAGGCCTAGTTTAGACCTGGTTTAGTCCTGGTTTTAGTCCTGATTTAGACCTGGTTTAGTCCTGGTTTTAGTCCTGGTTTAGCCCTGATTTAGACCTGGTTTAGTCCTTTGTTTGGTGTAAACTGGGGGTTTTACACAGACAGACACGAGCCGTCGCTTTTTTCTTCGGTTGTTGTTTCTTCGTTGTTGTTTCATCGAGTTTACACATTTTCCAGTCTGGACAAGCTGTCATAACTAACCGACTTTTGTCACTCGTCCAAGATCATCACGTCTGACTTCTGCGCTTTGTTGTCGCCCCAGCGGAGTCTGTTTGGTGTTTTCATGGATCACATATTCACGCCGCACCTCAGGCTCCGCACACTTCTCTCCGTCCGTGTTACTGATTCATTTTTCAGGACGTGAAAACTGAAAAACTGAACTAAAACGAGATAAACGCAAAGGACACTGTGGTCGTATTTTACTTTATTCACAGTCCCCCGGGTTTAGAAAAGTTCAAATTGACAAAAATATCAGTCAGAGCTTTAATTGCAAATAAAAATAATTTAAGTCTGAATAAAAATGAATTCCGATTTTAAATAACCACGTAAACACTTAATTCCAATGAAAATGAAATGATTATTCAGAATTAAACTTAAAGGTTGTATAGAGGATTTTTTTTAAGGGAAGTGAAATACAGCGACAATCCTTTTTCAAATGTTGTTCTTGCTTGACACCACCTTCCTCCTCCACAGCTCCCTCAGTAAAAAAAAAAAACTGCTCCCGCCTCTTTACTTTAGAAATCCTGTTTGTTTACAGCCAGTGCACGTTCAGAATTATGTTGAAGTGACTTGTCTAGAAATAATTTAGCGACCAACGCGTCAGTTTTTAGACCCTTCGTCTGCTTCATTCGCGCAATCACTGGAAGAAATCTCCAAGAATCACCTTAGTTTGTCTTCGCTCCTTTTCCTCTTCTCTTCTTCTTTCAGCGACCTCAAAAACTGACTTTCTCTTGCAGCGAACTGGTCGTGGATTCTCGTCCGCCGTCGCGACAAACTTTGTGCGAACGGTGAGAAAGCTACAGTTTGAAAAAGCCTCTAAGAACCGCTGCATAAACCACATAATCCCTGCGCGCCGGTGACTCAGTTACACTAGAAACGTAGGGAGTTTGATTGACGATCTAACAAATAGAAAATGAGGGAGCCTCATTTTCTATTGGCTGATGTTTCTCTGGCCTCACTACGTCCACAAGTTGATAGATTTTTATTCTTTTTTTTTTTGTTGTTGTCATAATTACAAGGCTGCTGCATCTCTGTAATGGTATTTTAAACTTTCAATGACAATTTGAAACTAAAAAAAAAATCCTCCATACAACCTTTAATTCTGAAGTCAGTGGGTGGTTTATTCCAATTTTAAAGCTGAATTCATTTATTCCTCGAACATGTCAATTAGGGGTGGGCAAACTACGGCCCGGGGGACATATGTGTAACACCTGCGTCAGTAGATATGGTATATATAGAATTGGACACAGTAGTAAAAGGTAGTAGTGTTCATATGGGCTAGTGACCAGAAGACTAGTGATCGGCTCTAGGAGGGAGTGACAGGAGACTGAGAGTTGCTTTTGGTGTTTGGTGCCATATATTAAAGAAACTAGAAAAGCAGTCAGAGAGCGCAGACTCCGCCAAGGACTACAGTCCCCCTCATATTAATTGTGTTTTCCATAAATATTTGTCTCGTATCTTTCAATTTGGAATCTGAAAGAGGATCCCATTGTCCATCCCTGAGTCAAATTTCATGGGGTTTGGTCAATAATTAATCGAGATATTGAGAAACAAAATTTTTGGCCCCATTTACCACAATGTTAACTAAAATTTCAAAGTGATCCAGAATCCAGGATTTCTTCCGGATCAGCCCCAAAATGAAATCAGTTCTTCCTTTTCACATTTCCAACAAATCCTGAAAATTTCATCAAAATCGGTCCATAACTTTTTGAGTTATGTTGCTAACAGACAAACAAACAAACAAACAAACAAACAGACAAACAAACAAACAAACAGACAAACAGACAAACAGACAAACGCAAAAACATAACCTCCTTGGCGGAGGTAATAAGAAACTAGTGAATAAGTAAGTAGTGACTTGACATACAACATTTAAACACAGACAGTGCGGAATGAATGGCCATTCAATTATTTACACAGTTCAATCAACAGTTCAGTAGCAGGACAATATATATCGAGAGTCCGACAATAGTGGGTGCAACCAAGAACACAACAATCTTCAACTCAGCTCACACACAGTTCATTGGAACCCACATCTGGATTTGACTGTTTATCCAGAGGGGAGGTAAAGTGCATAAAAAGTTCGTGAAGGGAATGTGTGAAAGTCAGTGGGCAATGGGCGTGTGGGTGCGTTGGGAGAGTTTTGTGGGCTGCAAAGAACCCTCTACCGGAGTAGTAGTAGTTCAGAAGGTTCGTTGGCTCTATAGACTTGAGGCCTTGCTCCTTTCAGCTCGTCATCAGGGGGTAGAAACCTGGCCAGTTTCCGTGGACTACGCCGTGCATATAAGCTCTGTAACACGGTTTGGGACTCGGTAGAAGCTCCTGCAGCTCGACTCTCATCCGGCTTCCAACAGCACCTCCCTCACACTGACTCACAGCGGCATCATAAGCTCACGCGATTGACGTCACCGAAAGCGTTACGATGATTGGTCTAGTGGACCCACGTGATTTTGTGACATGGAGATCCCGCGAGAACACACTTAAAGGTTGTATGGAGGATTTTTTTTTTGTTTCAAATTGTCAGTGATAGATTATAGATGCAGTCGCCTTGTAATTATGATGACCAAAAAAAAGAGAATAAAAATTCATCAACTCTGGACGTGGTGGGGCTAAACATTTGCCAATAGATAACGACACTGCCTCGTTATCTGTGAGCTGACAGGCTGTCAATCAAACTCCCTACGTTTCTAGTGTAACTGACTTGCCTGCGCCGCCGTTACGTGGTTTACGTACGACTGTCACACAGTCCACAGACGCAAGACGCACAGACGCTGTTTACTCCACCAACGCAACAGTTCTTAGCGGCTTTTTTTGACCTATATCTTCCTCACAGTTCGCACAAAGTTTGTTGCAATGACAGACAAGAATCCAGGAGCAGTTCGCCACAAAAGAAAGTCTGTTTTTGAGGTCGCTGAAAGAAGAAGACAAGGGGAAAAGCAGCGAAGCCAAACTAAGGTGATTCTTGTAAGATTCATTCCAGCGATGGCGCGACTGAAGCAGACGAAGGGTCTAAAGACTGAAGCACTGGTCCACAAATTACTCCTGGACAGGAAACTTCTGCTTATTATGAAAACGTACTTTATTTCCAAGAGCGAGACAAACGTTTTTCAGGACACGAAAGCGATATCCTATGTCTGAAAACGTAATTTTCAAGGCAAAGAAAGAGTCCGCTTGCTGCTGCGTGTTGTAGCTAGTTCATTCGCACTGAATCTCCGCGCAACCTTCTCTCTGCACCCCTTTCCTGCTCCTCTCCCCGCTGCCCTCGATCCTCTCTTCTCCCTGCTCCTCACTTCTCCGTCACGCTCCCGAAATCTCGCACTCCCCTCCCCGCTCCTCACTTCTCCGTCTTGTCTAACCAACACTGTAGTTAGTTGTTTACAAGTCATGTGCAGCACCGGCTGTAAACAAACCTGTTTCTGGCGTAAGGAGGAGGAGGGAGGAGGCGTTTCTACGTAGGAGCTGTGGGGGAGGGGGGTGGTTTCACGCAGGAGCAACATTTGAAAAAGGACAAACAGTCGCTGGATTTCTCCTTCCTTGGAAAATCCTCTATACAACCTTTAAGTTCCCATAGTAGGAGATAGGAGAGACAAGCACAGATGCAGAGAGAGAGAGACAGACATTTTGCAGGGTTTGTCACCTGGGTTACATATGTATACATATGTATATATATTATCCCTCCTATCTTTTTAATCTGGCCCCCCAAACTTGAATAATAATAATAATCATCTTCAGTCATTTCAATAAATAGTAAATACCGTGGGATTTGAAAGACAGATATTTTGTTTTAAAACAACTATGGAATCAGATATAAGAGCGGCCGTTTTTCGTCTGAATCACGTCGATCCCGTTTGTGTTTTGTGTGTTTCAGTTTGACCTGGTGTGCGATCGGAAAAGTCTGGCCAGAACCACCAGCACCATCTTCTTCATGGGCGTCATGTTGGGGGCCATCGCTTTTGGGTTCCTCTGCGATAAGTATGACATTAAAGAAAGACTATGGAACTTTTCTGGTGCTTTACCTGGAGGTTTATATGCAGTATTTTCTGATCTGTTCTAATGCAGTTTCCTCGTCACAAACAGACCTGGACTTGTGTTGTTTTTTTTTGTTTCATTCACATGTTTAACACACAAACCTGCATATAAAAGCTGAGTTCTTTTCTCAAACTGAAAACACTCTCTTCCACCTTGTGATGTCATGTGGCAATACAGGAAGTGCTCCACAGTTTTCTTCAGGCACACTCACATTAGGGCTGCGTTCAGACTGCAGGGCTTAACGCTCAATTCCGATTTTTTGGTGAAATCTGATGTTTTTCGAGGTCGTTCACATTTCCAGTCAAATGTGACTTGTATGTGACTCCAGTGTGAACATTAAACGGCCCAAAAGTGTCCCACATGTGACACTGGAGACACGACGACGTCAACCGCAGCGAGCGTCTCTGTGTTTACGGAAGTTGTCCAAACATGGACGCAGCATCGAGCACCTGGAGATTTTAAAGTTCCTCTCGTACCGGAGCCACAACATGAACAACTGACTTGTTTTAAGGAGGAGATTGAGAAGGAGAAGGACCAGGTTTTTGGTCGTGGTGTTTTGTGGTTCAGTCCGTTGAAAGGAACGTGTGGATGTGGAGACGGAGCCAAGAGTGGTGAGATTCGCTTCAGTGGCACAGAGTTCATTAACAATTTTCTCCTACTTCAGCGCAGAATAGTGACGTTTGTGTCTTGTTGATAACGTGTAGGTGGATGAATGCACTTTGACCGTTCAGACTGAAGTCACATGTCAAAAGATCAGATATGTATCAGTTTCAGGAGCACATATCCAAGTGTCCTGGGTCACATTTGAAAAAATCAGATCTGTCATTAAAAGATCAGATACAGGAACATAGAAGCCAAAAAATTGGATTTGGGTCACTTCAGGTGCATCTGAACGCAGCCTAGGACTTTAGAACCGTTCTGCGCTCACACTTGCACAACAGAACCGCGCCACGACCCAATGACGTCATCACACTGCGCTGTTTCTTTACTTATACTCGCGCTTTTAGCAGAGAAACGCAAATGTGCGTCCTTTTATGATAGAATCTCGTCCGTGAGTTTATGGAGATAAAAACAGCGCAGAGCAGTGATGACGCCGGAGACGAGACACAGTTGAACTTCTGTCACAGTCCTTATTGAAGATAGGAGTGGATTTGCTGTGTGATTTGGAGGAGACTTAATTCAGTTTTCCTTGTATGAGTGACAAAAGTGAAAAAATGTGTAGCACACTCAGATGCTTGCTCTCTTTGGACCACAGCACACAAAGCAAGAAAAAATATCCGATGAAGGCTTTTTTTGCTGAAACGTTATTTTGAAAATAAATAAGATTTTGGACATCAGCCATCTGAGTGTGCTCTGCATTTTTTCAATTTTGTCTGGCTGCTTCTTGCATTTGCACCTCTACAAGAAGTTTGGTGTGTGTTTTCTGTTTCTTTTGATTCCTTGTATGAGCAACATCAGAGCACAAACAGGGATCGCATAGTAACATCCCTGTATCACTCGTTTATTCGTTTTTCAATATAAAACCAAAAATAAGAAAACGAAAAAACAACTGTTTTCTTCATTATTTGTCTCCAAAACCAAAATGAAAAAAATGCTAACAATTAATTTTTTCAGTTTTCGATTTTGTGTTTAAATGAAAAATGGAAAAAACGGATAACGAACGTTTCCCGTTTACGTGACTTCTGTGACTGCGATGCCGAACTTTTGCACCACATACAGACTGAACCAGGACTGATCCAGGTCCGAGACCAGACGGGGACCAGACCGGGACCAGAGCGGGACTGAGACCGAGACCAGTGGTCCGAGCGGTTCCGTGTCATCGTCTGTGCGCTGGTTCCGTGTGGGGAAAGTGAGAATGTTCTGTGGACTCCAGGTCTGGACGAGCTGCTCCTCCACACTCAAGGACCGCGGCTGGTTCTGAGGTGGAGCAAAACATCAAACTGACGCTTTCACACCAACGAAAACGAACTGAACTAAGAGCTTTTGGTTCAAATGGACCAGGTCCAGACTAGACTGGGACCAGAGCGCTACTGAAACTGGGACCAGACCGGGACCAGAGCGGGCCTGAGACCGGAGGCTCGGAGCCCACGGCAGGGCCGGAGCTCGAAGCTGAGGCTCGGACCCCGCAGAGGCTCGGGTCAAAGATCAGAGTCCGCTGGTCTGGTCCCGCTCTGGTCCCGCTCTGGTCCTGGTCCCGGTCTGGTCCCGGTCTGTCCCGGTCTCAGTCCCGCTCTGGTCCTGGTCTGGTCTCGGACCTGGACCAGTCCTGGTTCAGTCCATATGCGGTGCAAAAGTCCGGCATCACAGTCACTGAAGTCACGTAAACGGGAAACCGTTTTTTCCATTTTTCATTTAAACACAAAATCAAAAACTGAAAAACGAATCGTTATCCGTTTTTTCATTTTGGTTTTGGAGACAAATAACGAAGAAAGCAGTTGTTAATTCATTTTATTATTTTTGGTTTTATATTGAAAAAACGAATGAACGAATGATACACGGATTTTGATGAATCAGGCTAAGAATCATTTGGAGGAATTGCACCGAACCAATTCTGTGTGAATTTTTATCTACACAAAGTTGTAACTACTTGAGGACAAAGTAACAGCTTCGTAGCACATTTGGGTCCGTTTTTTTAATTATTATTATTTATGTTTTAGAGAAATAAAAGTTTTCAGTCTCTTCGTTGTTATCTATATTGGAACTGAAAAAGCTGTATTGGTCCATTTCTATTGATTTGTGTAATTTCAGTCCTGGAATTGCCACGAAACAAAAGAGAAAAGGAGCTGTTAACCTGAAAACTACCACTTCATGACATCACAAGGAGGAACAGAGCATTTAGAGCTTTGGAGAAGTAAACAGACTAATAATAAAGAGTTACTCAAACATGTGTGAATGAAACAAAACACAACTCCGGGTCAGTTTCTGCGGAGGGAACAACATTAGACAAAAAGTTCACCAGAGTCAGTTTTGGACCTTTGATGCCAGGGGATGGATCCTTGGACCAGAAAAGTTCCACAGTGCTGATGTTGTGCTGCAGATACGGGCGTAAAAACATGCTGCTGGTGTCGTACGTTCTGTCTGTGGTGTTCGGCCTCTCCAGCGCCTTCGTGTCCTCCTACGAGATGTTCGCCGTGCTCAGGTTCTTCACGGGGTTTGGACTCACAGGAATCAGCATCATCTCCATAGTGCTCAGTAAGATCTTTACAAACTCATACAAGATTTAACAACTTTTTATTTTGGGTCTGGTCAAGCGGTAACGGAGGGAAACAGGGTCAGATTTTTGACATTCAAATGTCTCTTATTCAGAAACTAGAGGAACTATTGAAATAAGTAAAGTATCAGAATGTAGGAAAGAGTTACACTCCAACAGGGTCAAGTTAAACCTGTGAGATTCTTTCAAGTTCAAGACAAAAAATTTAAAAACTCATGTCGGTAACGGAGGGAATGAAATATGCAGCACTTTTTGGTCAATAAATCCAAACAGTGATAACTCTTGGTTCTCACTTACATATCCTTAACAAACTGGTTTGAATATTTGCTTCATATAGTTTTCTACCATATGGTACAAGATTAGGTTGAAAAACCTCTTACTTTTTGACTCATGAGATTTTTTATTAAGAAAGTCATGGTAACTAGGGAAAAGTTAACGCGAGTGAAATTACAAACAAGTAGAAGGTTGCAGGATTTTACACTTTGTCGATTTTTTCTTCCGAATACTTTAATATTACTTCAAAATGAAAGAAACTATTTCTATAAAATATGTCAGTCCTGTCCAAGAACATTTTTATCATTTGAAATACATTTTAAAAAAAAATCATGAGCCTTCATTAACAGTTCAAAAGATGGAATAACACAAGATATGATGAAATACATCCATTTATTTACATTGATTTTCAGGTCTTTGAAATTTGGGAAATAAAATTTTGTCCATGTTTCATACATGGTCATGTTTAAAACATATGGATTTTAGAACCAAAAATTGGAAACAGAAAAAAGGTCAACAGTTTCATAATCAGATGAATGATTTGAAAAAATCCAGATGGGCCAGAACCACAAAAAAAGGTCAACAGTTTCATAAACTAGAGTACATATGTATCTGTTCAATATATTTTTATATCAGATGCATTAACTTGAATTTTTGGCCTTGTTGTTTACTTCTGCTTGACTGGGCCTTTTGTTAAAAGAAAAGTAGTATCCACAAGCCCCGTGTGTGTGACAGGTTTTTATGATTCTCTCATTTTGACTTAATCTGGTGGAATAAAACTTGTTGCAAATTAAAATTATAATTTCACAACAATGTGCTGCGATGTAGGTTTGGGGAGCTTACGGTTAATGGTTTTCTTTGGTAACATGTGTGTAAATGTTAGGGTTGTTCCGGACTCGGCCGTTATGGTAAGTAAGTAAGTCCTCATTTATATAGAGCTTTTCACAGACATTTTTGGCACAAAGACACTTTACAGAGCATTACATTCATCATATATTATTCATTCACTCTGTACCTGGTCCGATCAGGTATCAGATAAATAAGATACATATGTAACACACAGGACAAAACAGTTTGTTTGTTTTTTAACTGAATCGCAGGATTTGTTCAGGGACGTCCAGTCAGTGCGACTGTTGTACTAGAGGTGCACCCGCGCTGGGACTTTTGGGTCTTGTTGTGTTTGGGCGCTGTTACCTGTGGTTCTGTGGCTCATGTTCACACCTGTGCGGCCGATGGCGTTTGTTTGCATATTGCGCAGCGGGTCTGCTGCTTTGGGTGGGGAGGGTGGGAAAAGCGGCATGGAGTGTCTATTGAGCGGTCGACCGATGTTGCGGTGCACTCTGCGGTGGATTTGTGGATGTGGTGTCGGTGCGGGGGAGAGCGGCTGTGGTGCTTCTGTCATCTGATTTTTATTTGGTAAGATTCTGTATTATTTGGATTTCATAGACGAGTCTAAATGTTTCAAATATAAACCACATTCTTCAATAATATCAAATCTACAAAGTGTAGATTGTGCAGAGTCGAGTCTCAGGTCTGATCTGGTTCTGGTCTGGTTCCTGTTTTGTTCAGTTCATTAAGTTTAATAAGTTACACATTCCAAGACCAAACTGTAAAAAGTCAAGATTTTCAACACTGATGGTTCCTGGTTAGAAAAGCTGATAAAATTTAAGTTTTGGACATTTGATTTTTCACAAGTTCAGCTAAATACTTCACATAAAATCAACACAATCTGATCCTCCAAACATCCTGGATCTGATTATTTGCTCTTAGTTCATTTCATAATGTTTTATAGAAGTATCGGATCGGGACTCGGTATCGGCAGATACTCAAAATCAAACGACTCAGACTTGGACTCGGGGGCAAAAAAATGTGATCGGGACATCCGTAATAAATGTGTGTCGTATTCTCCAGCAGCGTCATAAATCTGCCCCATCACCAAATCTTCAACCAACAAACTCCACAAAGGATAAACATTCTAACATGAACAATTTATCCACAACGATCAAGAGAAGAAAGACCAACACTTAAAGGAAACAATGACGACGCATTAGTGAAGCTGAGCAAAATTAACGTTATGTTAACTGACAAACGGGAAACACCATAGCTAGAACTACTTGCTTGTACATGGTCCACAATATTTTCACGCTTGCCATCTTCCTCGGCTCAAAATCAGTAGCTGCAACTTACTAGAGTTTCAGGCGGTTTTGTGTTAAAGGGCGACGTATAGTTCTACAGGTCTGTGTGTACGACCTGCAGACGTATAATCTCTGAAAACTTTAAACTGAACCACCTCCAACAGGACAGGAACGCAGAACAGACTCACCATCAGCAGAACACCCCTCTGTCACAGAAAGAACACTCATATTCCACTGAGTCGTGTCGTGTTTTTAATCCGACAGAAGCTGAACCGCATCATCGTCTGTTTTTTCAAACGAGCTGTGAGACGCTGCAGAACATCCAGAACATCCAGAACGCTGCAGCTCGGGTCCTGACTCGAACTAGGAAGTACGAGCACATAAGTCCTGGTCTCAGGTCTCTGCACTGGCTTCCTGTGCCTCAGAGACTTTAAAGCAGCTCTGCTTGTACAAGTGTCTCCATGGCCGAGCACCAAAGTCCATCTGTGACATGTTAGTGTCATATGAACATCTCACACTCTGAGGAGCTCAGGGACCAACTCCTGCTGGTGCCCAGAGTCACGACTAAACAAGGGGAGTCAGAGTTTCAGGTTCATGCAGCTAAAACCTGGAACAGTCTGAACATGTGAGACAGACTCTTCTGTGACGCTGTTTAAATCCAGACTCTAAACATTTCTGTTTAATTGTGCAAATAACTGAAAGGTTTTCATTCCGCACTCTTCTCTCCAATTTATGTCTCTCTTTTTTAATTTTAATCTTCATGATTATTTATGTTTTGTTTATTATGATTTTAATGTATTTCTCATTCTGTAAAGCACTTTGAATTACTTTGTGTACGAATTGTGCTGTACAAATAAACTTGCCTTGCCTTTTTGAGAGCTTAGTTTATGCAAATTAGCCATGTGGTTTTAGGTTGAAGTTGCTGCTGCGCTTGTGGTGGTTGCAGGTCTGGAGTGGAGCGACACCGCACACAGGTCGTTCATCGGGGTGATGGGCAGCACCGCCTGGTCCGTGGGGAACATGATTCTGGCGGGTTTAGCCTTCGCCATCAGGGACTGGAGACACCTGATCCTCGCAGTGACGGCTCCTCTGGGACTCGCTCTGCTCAGCTGGTGGTGAGGACACAACACAACATGGACAACGCACATGACGCACACAACACGCACAACATACAGGATGCACATAACACACACGACAAACACAACATACAAAACATACAGGATGCACACGACATGCACGACACACACAAAACACACACAACATACAAAAGCAACGACACACACGACACGCACAACACATACAAACACACACACACACAACACACGACGCACACAAAACACAGGACAAACAGAACACACACAACATATACAACACACACACACACACAGCACACACAATACACACACAACAAACACAACACACACAACGAACACACACACACACGCGACGCACACGACAAACACAACACGCACAACGCACACAACACACATCTGTACCACGTGTGCCAGGGCCCATTGCATTTAACAGACTTTTAAGGACCTGTATTACACAACATTTACAGTATTTTTCAGACTGTAAGTCGCACCGGAGTTTAAGTCGCACCAGCCAAAAAATGCATAATGAAGAAGAAAAAAACGTATATATGTCACACCAGACTATAAGTCAGAGATCAAGAACCGACATTTCATCTTGAAAGGCAAGTTATCCTCTTGGGAGGATAACTTTATCCTGGGAGGATAAAACTAGTCCTGTGTGAATCTGCATCTCAGTGTTTCTAGTTGTTGTTGTTGTTTCTGTCTCTTTTTTTTCTTTCCGTGTTCTTTTCTCTTTCAGTCTCTTCTATCTCTTGTAGTTGTGTGTCTTTATATCTGTTTCCGTCTTGAGTAACGGAGACTGCGGTAGAAATTTTGATGACAAATTATAATACGGCCCAATATCGCACTACGACATATACAGTCTTAATGTCAGTAAAATAGAGTCATTTACAGACTTTGCTTATCCAATGCAAATGATCTGCAAGTAAAACAGATGTGGGGCAGTAAATTTACCCCCGTTTGTCCCCTGGTTGTACTTATCCCGTAAGAATGGGGCTTAAGTATCCATGTATGTTTTACTTTTGGTCTGGGCATTTATCAGTTTTGTTTTTAAGCAGATTGTTCATCACTGTCCTGGTCAGAGTCTTGGCGTCAGAACTGAACAAAGCCGTCCTGTTTCATCTCTGTTCTCAGGTTCACACTTCGTTATGACTCTGTTTGCTCTTACAGGTGGCTCCCTGAATCTGCTCGTTGGTTATTGGCCAATGGAAAAGTGGAAAAGGCTCGATTTTATCTGGAGAGATGCTCCAAGTTCAACAAGGGACGAAATCTGTCTCCTCAAATCAAGTTAGAGGTACGAAACGGGACACGCTGTTCTTCCTTTAAAGTCCTACTGTGTGTTACGCAAAATGGACACTTTTATTTAGCCTTGTTATAATAATGCTGTGATCCAATCCAAAACTACGGTGGCTGAGGGAGGCCAAACACACTGCAACGGCCCAGTGCGTCTCAGTTAAGAGAAAACTACGGAAGCCGAGAGGGGTCACGACAAACGCAAACGCCGCTACAAATACAAATGCGACAACACACCAAAAAGCCACAGCAAACCAAAAAAAGCCACAACGCCCCCAAAAAAGCCACAACAAACTAAAAAAGCCACAACACGCCAAAAAAGCCACAACAAACCAAAAAAGCCACAACAAAGTAAAAAAGCCACAACACACCAAAAAAGCCACAACACGCCAAAAAAAGCCACAACACACCAAAAAAGCCACAACAACAAAAAAAAAGCCACAACTCGCCAAAAAAGCCACAAAAAAACCAAAAAGCCACAACACGCCAAAAAGCCACAACAAAAAAAAAGCCAACAACACACCAAAAAAAGCCACAATAAACCAAAAAAGCCACACAAAAAAAAAGCCACAACTCGCCAAAAAAAGCCACAACACGCCAAAAAAGCCACAACAAACAAAAAAAAGCCACAACCGAGATGACCGCAGGACTCTATTTGAATGCAAACGCCGCAACAAATACAAACGCCACAACACAAATGCAAATGCCGCAACACATTAAAAAGCCACAACACACCAAAAAAACCACAACAGAAGTGACCGCGGGACTCTGTTTTCCGACGGACCGATCAAGCGGCAAGTGAAGAAGAAGAAGAAGAACTACAACGTGAAACGAATAACGATAAAACAATAAATTACTTTTACTTACGTTTCCAACTTCTCCGTTATTTTACTTTTCACGTTGTAGTTCTTCTTCTTCACTTGCCGTTTGATCGGTCCGTCGGAAAATAGAGTCCCGCGGTCACTTCCGTTGTGGCTTTTTAATGTGTTGTGGCATTTGCGTTTGTGTTGTGGCGTTTGCATTCAAATAGAGTCCCGCGGTCATTTCCGTTGTGGCTTCTTTTTGTTGTGTTGTCGCATTTGTATTTGTTGTGGCGTTTGCGTTTGTTATGACCCCTCTCGGCTTCCGTAGAAACAGCTTCAAAAACAGAAACAATAATCTCAAACACAAGTTTAAACGAGGTGCAAACAAAGACCGCGGTGCAAATGATGTATAATGACGCACCGTGTCGTACAGTGATATTTACTACAGTCCCCACAATTCCTACGGTCATGGAAATCCTGGAAAAGTCATGGAAACTGAATATGTAATTTTTCAGATCTGAAAAAGTCATAGGATTTTGTAAATTCAATCAATGTTTTGGAAAAGTCTTAGTTTTATTTTATTAATTTTAGTATCTCTTTCACACAACTCCATCGTTCTGTTACGTTCTCATGAGGCTGTTCTGATTATTTCTGATCGTCTGCACCTTTTGTTTAAAAGAGACGACAATAAACGCATTGACGGGATTTTGAATGTTTAAAAACTATAATCCCAAACCATAAGGCGAGTGGAAAGAGTTCACATTTCAGATTTAGCCCTAAAAGTCTGATCAGGTGCCGTAAAGTCATGGAAAATTCACTTTAGGTCATGGAAAAGTTTTGAAATTTTGTCAGTGAAAAATAGTGGGAACCCTGATTTATATTACTTATAAACAGTGATAATTTTTGAGTTCCTTTTACCTTTAGTTCAGTAAAGATCGGCAATTCCAGAGCTGAAACGATCCAAATCATTCTAGTGAAAGTGTGTGGAGTTTAAAAACACAGTGGAGCACTTCCTGTATTACCACATGACATCACAAGGTGGAACGGAGTGTTTTCAGTTTGAGAAAAGGACTCCACGTCTATTTTTCAGATCAGAAAATAGCCCTCAAAACATATATAAACATGTATAAACATCTCTTGAGGTCAAAATAAGTCCACTGTGTACTGTCTGCATCTAAATATAAAGCAATTTTTCAACAATCAGGAAGTGCTCGTTAGCAGGCTAGTTGTTGTTAGCAGTTGTGAAAAGCTCTAATAATAAACTCATCACTGTCAATAATGAGGATGCTCTGAATGAATAAAGGAAGTGAGGAAGAACTTTGGAGCGCTGCAAACTGTTTAAAATGAACTAATTCTGTTTTTCATGATTTAAGACGGTAAAAATCAGGTACAGTACTATAATTTCTTAAATATTATTTTCTTTTTTAGAGTTTCAGTGACATAAAAGACACAAAGAACACTGAGAAAACATATAATTTTCTGGACCTGATCAGAACTCCACGGATTCGGTGCTACACGGTCATAACTGGAATTCTCTGGTGAGTATTCTGCTTAAACTGTGTACATACACGGACATACCTAACCACATTCCAAACAGGACGTGACCATGGGGGCACTTCTGGCTCCATCGTCTCTGACTCCATTTCACTTTCTATTTAAAAAAAAATCACCTCTCTCTTTATATCTGCTGTTGTGTCTGAGCCTCGTCATTTCGGTCTTAAAATTTTCAGATTAACCTGCTCTACATAGTCCTGGAGTTTTTATTTAGCAATTTTATTCGTAAGTCAAGATATGAACTGTAATAACAGACGTACCACTGGAGGTAACAACGGGTTTATTTGACCGCGTTGCTAAGCGTCTGCTCTTTACTAAACCAACAGTCTTGATTGGCTCTTTGGTGGCTATCATACTTGGGGTCAGAATTTCAATCAGGGAACTTGGCTCCAGATAGACCTTTCTCTCAACGGCTGGGAGTCGAGCTTGGTAAGGTTTGTGGAACTTCCGGTTCATTGGTTTTTTCTGTGGCAAAATATGTGTAAATGTGTGTGTAAATGTGTGTCGTATTCTCCAGCAGCTTCATAAATCTGCCCCATCACCAAATCTTCAACCAACAAACTCCACAAAGGATAAACATTCTAACATGAAGAATTTATCCACAACTGTCAAGAGAAGAAAGACCAACACTTAAAGGAAACAACGACGACGCATTAGTCACACACTGAACAAAATTAATGTTAAGGTAATAGTGAATAATTAGTAACTAATAATTAATAACTTGTTAACTCAGACGGATTCTAGAATTAAAATTAAAAATCTATTTCATGATTACCTCCGCCAAGGAGGTTATGTTTTTGCCGGTGTTTGTCTGTTTGTTTGTCTGTTTGTCTGTTTGTTTGTTTGTTTGTTTGTCTGTTAGCAACATAACTCAAAAAGTTATGGACCGATTTTGATGAAATTTTCAGGATTTGTTGGAAATGTGAAAAGGAAGAACTGATTTCATTTTGGGGGTGATCCGGAAGAAATCCTGGATTCTGGATCACTTTCAAATTTTAGTTAACATTGTGGTAAATGGGGCCAAAAATTTTGTTTCTCAATATCTCGATTAATTATTGACCAAACCCCATGAAATTTGACTCAGGGATGGACAATGGGATCCTCTTTCAGATTCCAAAGGCTGATCCGGATCTGATCCAGAAGACTGATTTTATCGCAATTTATATAAAAAATGGGGGTAGTCCTTGGCGGAGGTCTGCGCTCTCTGACTGCTTTTCTAGTGTTGATATTAGCACAGATAGATACTGTAGATTTGTGCAGTTTGAATGCTAAAGATGTTCACAGATTACATGTCCAGCATTTGAACTGCACAAATCTATATTATGATTTTTTTATTTTAATTGTAGAATCAGTCTGAGTTAACAAGTTCCTTCTGTTTTATTCATGATCATAACATTAGTTTTGTGTCACTGATGCGTCGTCGTCGTTGTTTCCTTTAAGTGTTGGTCTTTCTTCTCTTGATAGTTGTGGATAAATTCTTCATGTTAGAATGTTTATCCTTTGTGGAGTTTGTTGGTTGAAGATTTGGTGATGGGGCAGATTTATGAAGCTGCTGGAGAAAACACCAGACTTTTTCACAGACACATTTTGCCACAGAAAAACCATTAACCGGAAGTTCCGCCAACCTACAGCGCGACACTTCCAGCCACTGTGAAAAAGGTCTATTCATAACTAAAATGGCAGTTTGTACATAAAACTCTGCCCTCTGGTGGTGGCTGCAGGTACGGCGTGGCGCAGACGTACTACGGCATCAGTCTGAACATCAGCGGCTTCGGTCTGAGTCTGTACCTCACTCACTTCATCTACTCTGCCATCGAGGTGCCCGCCAAGTGGCTCATTTTCGCCCTGCTCAACGTCATCGGGCGCAAGAAGTGCCAGGCCGGGACCCAGCTCCTCACCGGAGTCTGCATCTTCATCAACATCTTCACCCCAGACAGTAGGTCCCCAACAAATAACAGCGCACGTTTAAGCAATCATTAATAAAACGTAAATAAATAAAATACGTGGTTCAGTGTTTAATTATGACCTAAAACGTGTTTCCGCGCTCACAGGCTTCTGGTATCTGCGCGCGGCCATCGGCATTCTGGGAAAAGGAGCCTCTGAAGCAGCGTTCACCACAGTGTTCTTATACACGACGGAGATTTACCCCACGGTCGTCAGGTAGGAACACGACGGAGATTTACCCCACGGTCGTCAGGTAGGAACACGACGGAGATTTACCCCACGGTCGTCAGGTAGGAACACGACGGAGATTTACCCCACGGTCGTCAGGTAGGAACACGACGGAGATTTACCCACGGTCGTCAGGTAAAAACGACGGAGATTTACCCCACGGTTGTCAGGTAAGAACACGACGGAGATTTACCCCACGGTCGTCAGGTAGGAACACGACGGAGATTTACCCCACGGTCGTCAGGTAGGAACACGACGGAGATTTACCCCACGGTCGTCAGGTAGGAACACGACGGAGATTTACCCCACGGTCGTCAGGTAGGAACACGACGGAGATTTACCCCACGGTCGTCAGGTAGGAACACGACGGAGATTTACCCCACGGTCGTCAGGTAGGAACACGACGGAGATTTACCCCACGGTCGTCAGGTAGGAACACGACGGAGATTTACCCCACGGTCGTCAGGTAGGAACACGAAGATTTACCCCACGGTCGTCAGGTAGGAACACGACGGAGATTTACCCCACGGTTGTCAGGTAGGAACACGAAGATTTACCCCACGGTCGTCAGGTAGGAACACGACAGAGATTTACCCCACGGTCGTCAGGTAGGAACACGACGGAGATTTACCCCACGGTCGTCAGGTAGGAACACGACGGAGATTTACCCCACGGTCATCAGGTAGGAACACGACGGAGATTTACCCCACGGTCATCAGGTAGGAAACACAATTAAGATTTACCCCACAGTCGTCAGGAAGGAAACGCGATTGAGATTTACCCCACAGTAGTCAGGTAGGAACATGACTGAGAATTACCCCACGGTCACACGATTGAGATTTACCCCACGATCGTCAGGTAGGAAACACAATTAAGATTTACCCCACGGTCGTCAGGAAGGAAACGCGATTGAGATTTACCCCACAGTCGTCAGGTAGGAAACACAATTAAGATTTACCCCACGGTCGTCAGGAAGGAAACGCGATTGAGATTTACCCCACAGTCGTCAGGTAGGAACATGGCTGAGAATTACCCCATGGTCACACAATTGAGATTTACCCCACGATCGTCAGGTAGGAACACGACGGAGTTTTACCCCACAGTCGTCAGGTAAGAACACGATCGGAGATTTACCCCACGATCACATGACGGAGATTTACCCCACAGTCGCCAGGTAGGAAACACAACTGAGAATTACCCCATGGTCACACGACTGAGAGTTACCCCACAGTCGTCAGATAAGAACACGACTGAGAGTTACCCCACAGTCGTCAGATAAGAACACGACTGAGAGTTACCCCACAGTCGTCAGGTAAGAACACGACTGAGAGTTACCCCACAGTCGTCAGGTAAGAACACGACTGAGAGTTACCCCACGGTCGTCAAGGGTCAGTCTGTGAAATGAGTTGGGACAAAACCTGAAGCGGTGCCCAAATATTCACAGCTTCAGAAGAAATTATAAAGAGTTTTTGCTTCTGTGGTATAAGGGTTCGAGCACAGAAACCAAAGCAACAGAAGCAACCATATCATTTTTGAAACTACGGCATGAACGAGGCTCTCCTTTTCCCACTCCGTTTCGTGAAATGTGCTCTTCTGTCGTTTATGTAGTGTGTGTGTGATTCTTGTTTCAGACAGAACGCCATGGGCTACACCAGCTTCATGAGTCGTCTGGGCGTGTGCATCGCTCCTCTGATCCTGCTGCTGGAGGACGTGTGGAGCCTCCTGCCTCAGGTCATCCTCTGTGCCGTGGCGCTCCTGTCGGGCCTGTCGGTGCTGCTCCTGCCCGAGACTCTCCACGCCCACCTGCCCGAGACCATCGAGGACGTGGAGAAGCTCAGGTCTGGGACTTTGACTCATGGACTTTAATGAAGTAGTGCTTCATTCAGTCGGATCATGTCCAGTTAAACTCCTGGCTCCGGTCAAGTGGTAACGGAGGGAAACAGGGTCAGATTTTTGACATTCAAATGTCTCTTATTCAGAAACTAGAGGAACTATTGAAATAAGTAAAGTATCAGAATGTAGGAAAGAGTTACACTCCAACAGGGTCAAGTTAAACCTGTGAGATTCTTTCAAGTTGTTGACATAAAATTTAAAAAACTCATGTCGGTAACGGAGGGAATGAAATATGCAGCACTTTTTGGTCAATAAATCCAAACAGTGATAACTCTTGGTTCTCACTTACATATCCTTAACAAACTGGTTTGAATATTTGCTTCATATAGTTTTCTACCATATGGTACAAGATTAGGTTGAAAAACCTCTGACTTTTTGACTCATGAGATTTTTTATTAAGAAAGTTCATGGTAACGGAGGGAAAAGTAACGGAGGGAAAATTGTACAAACAAGTAGAAGGTGCAGGATTTTACATCATTTGTCAGTTTTTTTTACTGAATACTTTAATATTACTTCAAAATGAAAGGAAACTATTTCTATAAAATATGTCAGTCCTTCCAAGAACATTTTTATCATTTTAAATACTTTTTTTTTTTTGAAAAATCATGTCCCTTCATCAACAGTTCAAAGATGGAATAACACAAGATATGATGAAATACATCCATTTATTTACATGATTTGCAGGTCTTTGAAATTTGGGAAATAATTTTTGTTCCATGTTTCATACATGGTCTGTTTAAAACAGATGGAACTTTAGAACCAAAAATGGTACAGAAAAAAGGTCAACAGTTTCATAAACTAGAGTACATATGTATCTGTTCAATACATTTTTATATCAGATGAATTAACTTGAATTTTTGGCCTTGTTGTTTACTTCTGCTGGACCGGGTCGTCCTGTCGCTGTACGCCCTTGTACAACTTTTCGAGGTGCATTGTGGGAAATTTTGAGTGCACTACTTTTTCACCAACTGGACATTTGGACACCACCAAAAATGGCGAGTCCCCTGAGCAGAGAAGAGTGTGAACATTTGGACACAGCCCCAGACTCGAACTGAGAAATCACAGACTCTTGAGATACTTTTGTATGAATTCATTTCCATTTTTTTTTTTTTTGGTCATTTCAGAGGCAGAGGAACGTCTCACAGTGTCGACTCCACAGATACCTGCCTGGAGTCCAAACTTTCACCTCAGACGTAGACCAGCAGCCGTCTGACTGGAGCCTCACTGGTGCCAAGCGTTTTCCACTGATCAAACTGGAGGAAAATGGAGATTGGATTGTTTTGTCATGGTGACTGAACACGTCCAGGCTCAGAGGTCAGGGGGGACGTGCTTAGAGATACTTGCTGTAAAAATAAATGTGTTTAGGTCAATAATATGATAAAATGATTTAGTTTTTTTTTTTGCAATACACACATCAGGAATCTCGGACTTCCGGAAATACATGTTTGTTTTCCCAGTGGGACGTGTCTATTGTCACAGTCGATCTTTTCAAGTCTTTTGAACCACATCACTTTTGTTTCTGGTTCTGATATTGTCATATTTTAGTTTTGGGATTCGGACATCGTTAATTGTGTGGTTGTTGGATCCTAACAGCGGAAAACGACTCGAGAAATTTGTTCTCTGCAAAAGTGAATCAGATGTGTGTGACTCAAACCTCCGTTCAAACTGTTTCTCTTCCCAACGGAATTGAAAAATAGTGAAAGGTGAAGGTGATGGGCAGGATTGATCCACAGGAAGAACCAAAAAGGAAACATTTGTCTGACTAAATCATCCTGAGTTTACAAAGAACATTTTGTCCGTGGAGCGACGACAAAACAAAACCCCGATCCCTCGCTCAACCTCGGTTATGAATTTAAAAAGTCAACGCCAAAGTGAAAGGCTCCAACTGTTCACCAAGAAACACCTTCCACTGCAAAGAGACCAAGACGTGATGTTTCTGTAAAACCACAAGAACAAGAAAGTGCAGCTCAGTCTGTTTGTCTTCTGCTCCTCTACATTAACAAACGGGATTTTGTTTTGTCGTCGCTCCACATACAAAATGTTCTCTGTAAACTCGGGATGATTTCTTAGTCAGACAAATGTTTCCTTTTTGGTTCTTCCTGTGGATCAATCCTGCCCATCACCTTCACCTTTCACTATTTTTCAATTCCGTTGGGAAGAGAAACATTTTGAACGGAGGTTTGAGTCACACACATCTGATTCACTTTTGCAGAGAAGTTCAAAACACATTTCTCGAGTCGTTTTCCGCTGTTAGGATCCAACAACCACACAAATACGATGTCCGAATCCCAAAACTAAAATATGACAATATCAGAACCAGAAACAAAAGTGAAATGGTTCAAAAGACTTGAAAAGATCGACTTTGACAATAGACACGTCCCACTGGGAAAACAAACATGGAGGTTTGATGCTCACTTTTTCTGAAAATCTTTCTCAGTATGAATTGTGTGATGACCGAAAGTCTGAGATTCTTGATTCTTGCGTGTAAACACAGAGTTCTTGGGTCCAGTCAGTGGGAGAAATGATCAGGTTCAACATCTGTGGATTTAACGCTGCCATTCCAACACTGACGTCTAATTGTCTGGTTTAGTTCTAGTTTAGTTCTGATTTTAGTCCTGGTGGATATTTTTTTTTAAATGTAGTTGTTGTTTTTCTTTAGTTTATTTTTGTTTGCTACATTCCACACGTGTCATTCGCAGTTTTGATGCTTCAGTGAGAATCTACAGTGTGAACAATCATGGAAATAAAGAAGAAACAAACATTAAAAACGTGTCCAAGCTTCTGTAGGAAATGAACCCGGTCAAAAGTTCATAGTTTTGCATAATACGTCTCGTTTAAAGGTTCGATATTACGTAAAACTGACCCTCGTGAGCTTTAAGTCGTGTTCTAATGTTGTTCCCTCCTCAAAAACAGACCTGGAGTTGGGTTTTGTTTCATTCGCACGTTTGAGTAACTCTGTATTAATCGTCTACATCTCCAAAACTCTAAAAGCTCTAAACGCTCTGTTCCACCTTGTGATGTCACGAAGCGCCAGTTTTCAAGTGAACAGCTCCTTTTACTTTTACTTCAGTAGAGATCGACAATTCCAATGTGACACAGTGTGACATTAAACAGCTCTACTTTACATTTATTCAATTGCAGTTGGTTTTATAGCTCAAAAACGCCTCTCCACAGATCTAACTCATAAAGGCCTTTTCATACTTCATAAGAACATACGATCTTTGTTCTTTTACCCAGGGCTGGTCCAACAGGATGACGTCATTTTGTTCTGATTGGTTGTTTATGTGGGCGTGGTTATGGTTTTGAGTCACAGCTGGAGGAAATGGTGAGAAAACACAAACATCTGTTCGACACGAGGCTCAGAGACGATAAAGACGCCAAATGGCAAAAATTCACGGAGGGAGATCGAGGACATTTTAGGCTCCGATGAAAATCAGTGTAGAAACGTTTGGTGTAAAGTCCGTTTGTGAAAGCCACAAAAGACGAGTCACCAAAAAAGAGCGGAGAGGACGAAAAGAAATACTCCCCTTCATCAAACGCAGGGAAACGTCACCGATACGACTCTGACTCCAAGTCGCCACGAAACCAGAGCCATGACTAAACCAGGACTAAACCAGGACTAACTGGGAAACCAGGACTAAACCAGGACTAACTGGGTCTAAACTAGGACTAACCGGGTCTAAACTAGGACTAATCCAGGACTAAACTAGGACTAGGTCTAAACCAGGACTAACCGGGTCTAAACTAGGACTAAACTAAACCAGGATTAAACTAGGACTAAACCGGGTCTAAACCAGGACTAACCGGGTCTAAATTTAGGACTAAATCAGGACTAAACCAGGACTAAACCAGGACTGAAACCAGGACTAAACCAGGACTAAACCAGGTCTAAACCGGACTAAACCAGGATAAACCAGGACTAAACCAGGACTGAAACCAAGGACTAAACTAAACCAGGACTAAACCAGGTCTAAACTAAACCAGGACTAAACCAGGAAAACTCTAAACCAGGACTAAACTAGGACTAATCCAGGACTAAACCGGGTCTAAACCAGGACTAAACCAGGTCTAAACACTAAACCAGGAGGAAACTAAACCAGGACTAAATCAGGACTAAACCAGGATTAAAACCAGGACTAATCCAGGACTAAACCAGGTCTAAACTAGGACTAAACCAGGACTAAACCAGGACAAAAACAGGACTAAACCTCAAAAATACCTAGAAAAACAAACATTGTGACTGTGAGCGGCGTCGCCTCTCCACAGATCTGACCTGTAACTCTGCCTGGTTGCATCATCTGCTTGTCTCCATGGATACACACAAGTTTGAAGCCATATTGCGGAACTTTCAAAGCAAAGAAGTAACATTTCCAACAGAAAAGTCACATTTTAAACTCAAAATCTGGTCTCGACCGTTTGTGCCACGGTCACCACGGAGTCCTGCCCGGCGCCGCCGCCGCCACCGCGTGAGGAGCGAGAGCAGGGCAGCGCCTTGAGCACGTCCCGGGGCCCCTGCGTCATGAACAAGTAGAGCAGAGGGTCCACCAGGGGCCCCAAGTACAGCAACGTGTGAGAGACCAGGTCCAAGTACGGCAGCGCGGCCCCGAGCTCCAGCGCCCGCAGCAGCTCGCTCACCACGTACGGCAGGTACACCGCGCTGTAGTTCACCCAGATCGCCGCCACGCCGCCCGCCGCCCGCCTCCTCTCCGCGCCGGGACGCCGGGATCGGGAACACGCCAACGCTCGCCACGAATCCAGCGCCAGGAACAGCAGGAGCGGAAACGGCGCCAGCAGGGCCACGGCGAACCAGAAGGCGTACCGTAAAATCGCCAAGGTCAAGACGCCGAACGGGAGCGCCCACTTCAACGCCACGAGGAACGGGCTGATCCGACACGGCGACGGAGACGAGGCGCACTGAGGGTAGGCGACCAGCAGGTGGCGCTCCTGGGAGATGAAGAGCATGAGGTAGATGTTGGAGACGAGGCCGAGGTGGAAGATGAGTCCGGTGAGGTCGGAGATGTTTGAGGAGGACGAGGAGGAGGAGGAGGTGGTTGGAGATGTTTGTGATGAAGACTGGTTCACAGAAGGTCGTCCCAGGAAGCTGAGGACGTCCGAGACGAGCAGGAGCGTGACGTGAGGAGGAACTTTACGCTCGCCTGGAAAGAACGAAGCAAAAGTTAAATATGTGACGTGAATGTGACTCCGCGTGTCGTTCGTTCATTCGTTTTTCAAAATAAAACTTAAAAAAAAAAACAACAATTTTCTTCATTATTTGTCTCCAAAACCAAAATGAAAAAACAGAAAATGATTTGTTGTTTTTTTTTTTTCAATTTTCGGTTTTGTGTTTAAATGAAAAATGGAAAAAATGGATAACGGAATAAACCAGGACTAAACCAGGTCTAAACCAGGACTAAACCAGCACTGAACCAGGAGTAAACCAGGACTAAACCAGGACTAAACCAGGTCTAAACCAGGACTAAACCAGGACTAAACCAGGTCTAAACCAGGACTAAACCAGGACTAAACCAGGTCTAAAGCAGGACTAAAACCAGGTCTAAAACCAGGACTAAACCAGGTCTAAACCAGGACTAACCAGGACTAAACCAGGACTGAACCAGGACTAAACCAGGACTAAAACAGGACTGAACCAGGACTAAACCAGGTCTAAATCAGGACTGAACCAGGACTAAACCAGGACTAAAACAGGACTAAACCAGGATTAAACCAGGACTAAACCAGGTCTAAACCAGGACTAAAACAGGACTAAAACAGGACTAAACCAGGACTAAAACAGGACTAAACCAGGATTAAACCAGGACTAAACCAGGTCTAAACCAGGACTAAACCAGGACTAAAACAGGACTAAACCAGGTCTAAACCAGGTCTAAACCAGGACTAAATCTGGACTGAACCAGGACTAAACCAAGACTGAACCAGATCCGGGACCAGACCGGAATCAGACCTGGACTGAGACCAGAAACAGGACCAGGACTGAGATTGGGATGGAGACTGGGACCAGACCAGAACTGAGACCCACGACTGAGGCCGGACCAGGACTAGACCGTGATTGAGACCGGGACTGAGACCGAGACCAGACCAGGACTAAGACCAGGACCAGACCGGGACTGAAAACGGTTCAGTCCTGGTTCAGTCCTGGTTCAGTTCTGGAGCTCTCACCTTTGGACAGGTTCTGGAGC